AGTAGTATAATGTAAAACACTGTAATTATAGAATTTCCTCATTAATTATGCAAATTAAGTCCTCATTTGCATAATTTGCATTTAATTATGTACATCTCTCTCTCAGCTACCTACACACCAAAAATAATGAAAATATGTTGTTCCTGTCTGGACTTATTGGCTTTTAAACATTTCGCCAGAAAGTGCCCTGCAGTTCCAGAACAAGCCGCTAGGGGGCCCAAACTCATGTGACTTCTTCCCAAGCACGAGAGCTACCTATCATCCAAATTTCATGACCCTAGCATGTCCAGATCGCGAGATATCAAAACCGGAAGTTGCGCTGCAGTACCAAGGGAAGCCACTAGGGGGACCAAAATCTAATCATTTCCAGTTTTCGTCACACCCTACCAACACACCAAGTATGAAACCAATCCATCCAGGCGTTCTTGAGTTATCTTGTTGACCAACAGACGGACAGAAGGACAGACGGACAGACGGACAGATAAACGCAACTGAAAATATAACCTCCATGACACATTTCATGGAGGTAACTAAACAGGGACATTTTGTAACATCATTCTGAGCAGCTTCCCACAGCACTTGATAAAAGATATATTGTTAGTTTACATTGTACTGTGAAAGAAAAGATTAATTGCTTTCGTATATTGCAGCCTGTGTATTGATTGTTGTAATGGAATAAACAGGATGTTGAAACTGAAGCTATCCCTGTCCTTGGTGCTGAAAGCAAGCCATGTCACCCCCCTCCCCCTTGTTCGTAACAAATTAGCCGGGTTGACTGGCATTTTCACCTTCCCTGAACACATTAATCAGCTCCTTTTCTCTATATGTAACCCTGACCTGTTTAGTGAGCTGCTCCTCACACAGCTTGTACAGTGTGTAGAACTTCCTGGCCAGTAGGATGTTCTCCAGGAAGCCACAGGAGGCCAGTTTGACACGGATGATGATCTGTCGGTCGGGCACCATCATGGCGACGGTTCGGAAGTTGATCTTCAGGTTCTCCGGCAGCTCCTGACGACCTGCATAGCCTGGGTTCTAGTAAGTAAATTCAAAGGAAATATGTAATTAAGAACGTGAGAAACACAGGCAGATATTGATTACATAAATTAAGACTTAATTTTAAGACTTAATTTGCATAATAAATGAGAAAATGTTGTAATTTAGCAATGGTAACTGCCTGGAATTTCATACTTAGGGTGCTGGAAACTTAAGTGAAGGTGAACTTCATCAAACATAACTTATTCAAATAAGGACCTCATTTGCATAATTTATGAGGAAATACAAAAATGGCATTCTTTGTTAAGATAAGACACAGTCTTTTGGTAAAGAATGTGATCAACTGATATAATTCCTGGAAATGAGGATCCTTTTTCATAATCAGGGGGAATAACCTATAATTTGTCTGTCATAAAAATCATATCATTTGACAAAGGTATGAGGTCGTAGAACTCCTAAGAACTCCTAAACCAGGCCTTTGAAGACAATGGATTGTCACTTCTAATACAAATGAAAAATTTGTATTCGTGAAAAATGCATGTTTTACTAACAGTGGGTCTAGTAACATTATATCGAATTTACATGTAGTTGTTTGTAGTAATTAATGTAGTTAAATTTAGTATAAATCTTGGTCCAACATGTTTGTATAAATTGTAATTCCACTCATTTCAGCCTCTGGCTGCAACGTGAGATTTGCAGCAGCTGCTATCAAATAAAGTCAATGACCTCGAACAGACATCTGTTACCATGGTAACTGGTTCTGTAACAGACATCCTGTAGTGTTTGGTTATATTTACTTAATGTAGCAGAACTGAGTTGGACAGGCTGCTCACCATACAGTCGTATGAATGTATTTAAGTAAGGATAAACAGAGCAGTTTGTTGGGCCAGACCTAGCCTCCACCAGGTCTTTCCATGGGAATACGGATCGTAGAATTTGGCAAAAAAGAGAGTAAAATTGGCCAAGGGAGTCCGGCCGTGGGGAGGTAGTTTCTTTCCCTCCGACTACTGCGCGGACTGTCAAACCTACAAGGCGGCCAAACTCCTCTGCCAATTATTCTCCTATACATGTACACGTATATAGCCAGCGCAGGGCAATTATTCTCCTATATATAGCCAGTGTAGTTAGTCTGGGAGAGACTAGGCCAGACCAGAAGGCAGGAGTTTTTCTGAACAGGGGAACAAGGGGCTGCGCCCTCATGTAACAAACCAGCGCCCTCATATCAATTTTCAGATTGAAGCCTAAGTCTTTTTCAAAATCATCTTTTTCCAGTAAAAATACAAAAACAACACCACATAACAATACATTCTAGCATTACAAACTATGTTACTCAAAATTCCAAAATCTTACCACAAACTTGAAAATTTAGCTCTAGTAGTAAAAGTGTGAAATGTTCATTGAGAACTTGCTCAAACACATGTAGCTAGACCTCCTTCATTTGCATACTATAGAACAGGCTCTGAAGTGAAACATGAGACCTGAGTTTGTAGCAGCTTGGATGAATGTGTTGCAATTGTGCCATGGGAAAGGTTTCAGCTTGTGGCAAACTCAATGTTGTCATCTGGAGCTACTAGTTACATTGATCACTATTGTGTAAGTGTATAAAGGGTGGTTTGCAGATTGTGTGTACTGTTGATTGTACTTATATTTTATAAGTGAAATATGCAATGCATGAATAGAAATTTGGGAAAGGTACATTGAGGTTAAGAGTTCAAATTTCCCCCCTCAAGTAGCCTCAAAATGTCCCATTTCAACTTCAAATTTTCAAAGGCTTCACATGGCGGAAGGGGGAATACCCCCCTTTCGCACCAACCCCCCTCGGTCGCTTCGCTCCCTTGTCGTGATACTGCTCCCTCATGCCAAATTTTTCTAGAAAAACCCCTGAGAAGGTGAAGGAAAACATGGTTATCTGTCTGGTTTCGCTTCTTTATTCATATAACCAATACTAATATTCACAATATTGACAGTATGACAGTTGAGTGGGACTCCTTTGCTAGTCTACAGACTGCACCAGTGCAGGTATTCAGAAAAAGTATCTGCAGCCCTGAAAGCATTGTCATTATAATATTATAATCAGCTACAAATACAATGTAATAAGTTGTTAATTGTTGATGAAACATTAATAAAGACTCTCATATAACTCAGTGTTGTTCAATATTTTTGTACATTTTACTTAATATACAGTCTGACATTTTTCAACACTCATCATTATTATTGTCACACTTCCAAGACACAACAACATGACAAATAACATTGCATAATACCCCTTGGGCATGCAACTTGTACTTTTTGTATTGTGAACCACGAAATGTTATTTCAGATAAGAAAAAATGCATCAAAATCAATAAATCTCAAAAACTACTTCTGGGAGGAATCATTAGCTGTCTGTTCAAAGTGTGGCCCTGGGTCTTCATTGTGGGTCACTGAATATGGCTGAAGCTGTGGCACTGGGTCTTCATCGTGGGTCACTGCGTATGGCTGAAGCTGTGGCCCTGGGTCTTCATCGTGGGTCACTACGCATGGCTGAAGCTGTGGCCCTGGGTCTTCATCGTGGGTCACTACGCATGGCTGAAGCTGTGGCCCTGGGTCTTCATCGTGGGTCACTACGCATGGCTGAAGCTGTGGCCCTGGGTCTTCATCATGGGTCACTACGCATGGCTGAAGCTGTGGCCCTGGGTCTTCATCATGGGTCACTACGCATGGCTGAAGCTGTGGCCCTGGGTCTTCATCATGGGAAACTGCATATGGCTGAAGCTGTGGCCCTGGGTCTTCATTGTGGGAAACTGCATATGGCTGAAGCTGTGGCCCTGGGTCTTCATCGTGGGAAACTGAATATGGCTGAAGCTGTGGCCCTGGGTCTTCATTAATGAAGGTTGTTGCATATGGTGCAAGCTTGCCATTTTCCCCTTTCCCAGACACATCCATGTATGACACAGCGTATGGCTCAATGTCATCGGTGTCTTCCATTGACTGGATGCCATCGTTGTCTGGTTCCGTTGGCTGGATGTTAGCAAAGGAAGTTGTTGCGTATGGTGCAAGCTTGCCGTTTTCCCCTTTCCCCGACACATCCATGTATGACACAGCGTACGGCTCAATGTCATCGTTGTTTGGTTCCGTTGGCTGGATGTTAGCAAAGGAAGTTGTTGCGTTTTCCCCCTGTTCTGACACATCCATGTATGACACAGCATACGGCTCAATGTCATTGTTGCCCTCTGATGTCTGGTCCTCAACAGGATTCGGTTGTCTGCCTGTGACTGAGTCTCTGTCCGAAGAAGGGGCGGAGTTTCCATCTGTTTCAGCAGGGGCGTTGTAAGGGGCCAGACCTGTGCCGTGACAGCATTCGTACAAGTAGACGGCAACCCCCAACGCCAACACCATCAGAAGGGGCACAGCAACAGCCGTGATGACAGCAACAGTCATGATGACGTGGTAACTGTCCTCAGTGAGGATTGGGCCAACACCTAGAAGAATGACAATGTCAGTCCCGGTTGTAGCCTGGTTTGTTGTAGCTTGGTACTCTGAGCCTGGGGTGGTGTTTGTGTATGGGGTGGTGTTTGTGTATGGCATCTCTGTGGGAATGGTGTCGTTCTGCAGACTGGTGTGGGTGGTATGCGGACCTGTTGTGGTGGACATTTCATCACATCTCCCCGATCTGATGTCCTGTGGTGACCAGCCCGTGTTGGTCTGACCGATCTCCTTCCTCAGGGTGGCAAGCAGAATTCCGCTCAGGTCGGCAGGTGATGCACACTTCAGGATGTCATGGCCAATGATGTAATCCAACTCTGGCAGATGACAGATGAACCAGATGAGATTGGCGTCACATTTCAGCTGGTTTTTTGCTAGCATAAGCTGTAGTGCCTGGTTGTGGCTCAGACGCAGGACTTGGCTGTTGATCGTGGTGATGTAGTTTGTTTTCAGGCTTGCAACCTTCAGTGCTGTAAGTGGCAGGAGTGCGTTGACGGGCACCGAACGCAGATGGTTCATGTCCAACTTCAACCTGCGAAGGAGTGGCAGGCCGCGGAATGCATGCTGGGATATGACGGAAATGGCGTTCCTTTGAAGGTTTAGGGTTTTTACCTTCTCAAGCCCAAGGAAGGTATAGGGTTCTGAAGATATACAAAACAGAATATATGTAACATATGACATTGTATTGTAAATAATTTGCAGGGATTTTTTTGGGTAGTACTGATTATCAAGGCTCAATCTGGTACTTATCCTTAGTGGGGAAGGGGCCTAACAATAGTTAATTTTACATGTAGGTTACATTCTGTTATTTCTAAATGAAACATGAAATACAAGACAGTGATGTTATTGAGGATTCATATAACATATCAACACTAACAAAATTAAATATGAGGAGCCGAAAATACATTTTTGTCAACGTACCAAGACTGGAGATGCGGTTGTCAATGAGGGAAAGGATTTCCAGCAACGGCAGACATTGGAAAGCCCCTGGCTGCACCGTGGACACGTTGGACTCCCGGATCCAAAGGTACGGAACTTCTAGGCTGTAGGGGAAAGACTGCTCCGAAATGGTAGAGGAACGGAGATGCTTGATGTGGATCGATGACGTGGCTTTGACAAAGCCGGTTGGTATGGCGTCCAGACATGCGGGGAAGCTGTACGTTTCTCTGTACCCAATCCAGCTGCAGGGGGACCCCGCCCAGTTTTTACCTGGACAGCGACAGGTGACTTTCCTCATTCCCAACACACGTATGGGGAAGGCCTGACAGCTGTCAGGGCACTGTAGAACTGGCACCGACACGAGCAGTACAAAATGTAGCTGATTGGAAACCAGGAGAAGGAAGTACAGCAGTGCCTTGTTTTGCGCCATGGTGGTCACAGATTTCTGCTGCAACTCGCACTGACCCTTAGATGTACCAGATATGATATCCACACACACGTCTGTTTAAATATACATTTTAATGTTTAACAAATAGATCTGAGCCGCAGGCAATTTAATGGTATTGTGTCCTTGGTTATCAGAAATGCCCAACCAGCTGGCTGCATTTTGCAGACATATTTAATATCTAGGTTAAAAGGAAATTATTTTTCTGGAAACAGCGGAAAATTAATGAATGAAAGCAGACCTATATTGTACACACATACCTGCTGGGTTAAGTACAGGTCACATTAAAAGAATGTGTCTGCCTGCGGCTCAGACTAACGTCAAACATTTCATGTTTCACAATAGTATGAGCTGCAGGCATTTTAATGGGATTGGGTCCTTGGGTATCAGAAATGCCCACCTGCAGGCTGCATTTTGCAGACATTTTTGATATTCTAGATTAAAAGGAAATTATTTTTCTGGAAACAGAAGAAAATTAATGAATGAATGAAGACGTACACACATACCTGCTGGGTTACCTGTACATACAAGCCAACAAAAGAATGGAATACAGATAACGTCTGGTATATACATCGTCAAGTAGCTACGACTTATACTGAAATAGTCCAAAGGTTTGGGTCAGAATAATAATTTTCTCACCATGGTGAGGAAGATGCCAAACTCAGGGCTGAGGTCGACCACGTCTCCATCAGTGAAGATGAACTGTTTCTTCCTCTCCTTCTTACTGGCCAGAACCACAGCGATCTGCTGGGCTGCCACAGACAGCACCGGCAGGTCAATCCTGTTGAACTCATCAAAACAACCCCAGCTTCCCGACTGGGCCAAACCTGTAGGGAAACAGTGTGACAGGCTGAATAAAAGTTCTAAACGGGAACTTTGCAGCCCAGGTGTCTTACTGAGGGACGACTACATGTGCAAGATGTCGGTTAGCTTGAGGAATATACTGTAGGGAAACACGTTCCAAATATCATTACTTTTTCACAATGCAATTATTTATTATAATGTACTGTGTATCAGTGAATTTCAATGTAGGCCTTCTTTGAAGTTCAAGGAACAGGAACTGCAAAATTAAAGTAACAGTCATCGTGAAAAGTGACCTTTATCTGACAGTTTGTTTTCGAACATGGTACATGTAGGTGAGGTAACAAACCATTACAGGCTTTGTTTTAATAATGTCTTGTAATAGTATATTCCTCCAAAATATCAACATTAAGACCATTTTAAAAGTGGAATTTCAGCAAGATCAGAAACCCTGATGAAGAATGAAGCTTTGTTTGTAAATATCTTTATGGTGAAGTTGAAGTCCTCATGTTGAGATAAAGCATTGTATAACCACATCAGCATCATCTTTTGGCAAACACTGAGTAAAGATAAATACTGGTTCTTACCCTTGAAGATTCTGCCCAGGCCCCTGAAGTCCATCTGGTCAGAGCAGTTGAAGACGACCACGTACTTGCCCAGACAGCGTCCCATGTCCTTGGTGGTCTCTGTCTTGCCTGTACCGGCAGGGCCAGCTGGGGCTCCTCCCATACTCATGCCCAGGGCTTGGGCAAGGGTGATGTAACATCTGATAGAATGTAACAACAATATATTGCTGCCTGTGGTACTTTGAAGCATCATCCAATGATGAGGTTGCTCAATATATATTTTACTACTACATACATAAGCCCACGAGTCTATTCTAGTGAATACAAGACTTTTATACCAAAAATCAAGACATTTTAATGTAATTTGAAATATTTACATGTACAACAAAATCTGCACAAAGTAGTCACTGATTGAAAGAATTATCTTACTGAACTTATACTATACGTGACTGATGAATCTCTTCAACGATGCACAAAGTAGGAAAAAACAATGCTCAAAGACATAAGGACCTGCCCAATGGATTGGCATACGAAGTCTGTACAATACTCATTCATACAATTTTTACATTAACTTTGCCATATCATAACAGTGATACAGAATAAATTTTCTGATTGGTACCTAGTTCAATTAATTTACAGTGGGTACCTAAGCAGAGGAAAAAGTTTACAGAAAGAGCCCTGTAATTCTTAAAATGCCAAATTGAATCCTACTAGAGTACACCATCACTCCAAAATGGTTATTAGGTAATTAAAATCATTATGGTAATTAAATAATTAATAATAACAAATTAATTAATTTGTTAGCCAGTGTCCTTACTATGAGACCGAAAGAAACAGACTATTTCAGACAGTTACAACAATTTCTCCATCCTTTCGTCATTTAGAAGATCACCAAAATACTGCATTTCTACTAAGATCACAAAACCCACTAATTATGCAGAATGTGGGACTATTCATTATCCACTGCCTTCAAAGAAGAAGTCGAACCCCATAATAGCTAGCGTAGTAGTAGAAGTAGAAGTTTTTTCCAGACAGTTGTTACCTGTCTCCTGTTACTGTATTGCAATGTGTATTATTCTTGATTTTAAAGCAATTAGCCTTCGGGCATGATTTTGCGAATAAAGTTTCTACTATTAAAAGCTTTAGAAGCTGACCTGTCTGTGAGAGGTGTGATAACAAGCCTCTCAGCCACGCCCAGGTACTCGTTCTGATACTGGAAGTCCACGTCTGTTATGGAGATGATGCACTTGTCGATGTCCTCGTTGAAGTAGAACCTGCACTGCTTCAGCCACTCAAAGTCTGTAGGAGTTCTGATGTGCATTCGGCACTGGGGTAAAAGTATGGGAAGTCAGTACCCCTGGATCATGCATGCAACTGACACTACTTGCTTTTGAGTTCAAAATCTAAGGGCATGAAACATTTTGCATCATCACTAGTATTATTTAGTTCATTGAAAATGGAATGTAGGAGTGTCCCCAAATACAAATGTCTACGCTTTGAAATTAAAGAAACTGTAAAGTTAAACACATTCTAGGAATCTAACAAAAAAGAAAAAGATTATATTCTTACTCAAACACATTCATATATATGGTGACAGGAGTCTAAATTCCTCCTGCTATAAAATTGCAACATGATGTAACCCAACACTAGTTACCATGGTGACAGACGTCTGGTTCAGGTCATTAACCTTATTTGTTTGGAGAAGAAGAGGAAACAGAGCAAATTAAAACAATATGTTTTCCTTCGGTAAACATAAACATACCAGGTCATCGAAGATGTCCCTCTGGTGCACATGGATGAGGATGAGCGTCTCGTACTTTGTCCTCTCAATCTTGGTCAGCTCCTTGGTCGTCATGTCAATCAAGGTGTTGAGCAGCTCCTGGAAGGCCTGGTTGGTCTGGGCCATGCCCTTCTTGTCGTACTTGGCGTTGGCCAGAGAGTCTTGGGCATCTCTGGTCCACAGGAGCTGGATGCCAAGGAGTCCAACCTGCGGTGCAAAGGAGGAACATCGTGAGATGGGTTATAGGATTCTTTATTAACTCAACAAAAAAGTCTGTACTTTTTTGTATGGTTGTCTACAACTTAAGGTCTAACAAACCTAAATACATGTATGAATAATGTCATCCTACCTACAGGGTATGAGGCAAGTCTCTAAGATTTAAACATCTTTCATGTATTTCCCTATTTGAACAAGGTAACGGCATACTAGGGCTGGTTCAATATCTAGTGAGAAGATTTCTAGAGTAAGCTTTCAAACGTCTTCAAAGTCTTGGAAAGTCCAGTGACTACTCTATGATGTCTTCTCTAAACTTTGGAAAGGAAGTGAAGTACATTACTCAACATGATACAGAGTTTTCCATAAGAGTCACTAAGGAAACACATTGTGCTATAACACTTTCAGCACCAAGGAGAGTGCCCATACCGTGCAGTATATCAAATATGGTTCTCTGTAGAAGTTACAGAGGAAAAACTAAGAATAAAACATTGTGCAATAATACTTTCTGCACCAAGGACAGTGCCCATACCATGCAGTATATGGAATTATATTGTTTTCTATAGAAGTTACAGAGGGAAAACTAAGAATAGAACATTGTGCAATAACACTTTCAGCACCAAGGACAGTGCCCATACCATGCAGTATAATTATGATATATGGCTTACTGCTACAGTAGGAGTTACAGAGGAAAAACTCAGTGACATAATAACACATTATGCAAGAACACTTTCAGAGCCAAAAGACAACTCCAATTTCATTCAAACTGTATTACATACAAATCAGAGAAAAAGACATTTATCTAATTGCTTGGCTGTGCTACAAATGTATGTTACAGAGCTGACCTGTGCAGGGAAGGTGTTGAGGAACTCGATGAGGTTGAAGCTGGAGTCCTGGATAGCAGTGGCAGCCATCCTGATGATGTTGTGTACAGTCTTGTGGGACTGGTCCAGGAGTGTCTTCAGCCACACCTCAACATTACCCTCCGCAGTGACTGGGTGGGCAAGCTAAACAATCACAAAACAACAACATTCAGTACGGTGACACTCATAGATACATTGCTTCTTTTCATACATAGAATATTATCAACACTTCTCCAGGTTGTATTCTAAACAAATACAGTGAGAAACTATCTATAATGTCTCTTACTTATACTTATGTCCTGCTTCAAATTGACTATACCATTTAGTCCCCTCAAAAAATCAGGATAGAGGTTCAATTGTGTCTGTGTATAATATTGTTTAGGAGCTTTTGTGCTTACTTCTGACTTTATGATATACTAGTTATGCATATATTTTTCAAATTGCATATAAAATGTTTGCCAACATGCAATTTTGGATGGGTTTGAGCCCACTTAAAAGTGTATCTTTGCAGAAAGTATCTCCAAACTGCAGAACAATATTATGACATTCTGCAATATTGCAGAACATTGAAAAAAAGTATTTCGACCACTGTTCAGATATTATTTTCTGACCTCGATAGTCTCGCCCTCTGATGAGGTGCAGCTCAGGATCCTGTCATAGAACTTCTCGTGGAACTTGACAGTCTTGATGTTGTCAAACACACTGAGCAGGTGGGCCTGGATGGTGTGGGAGTCGCTGGCCTGGCCCAGGATCTCCAGCAGGGCAGGGTCAGACACAAAGAAGAACCGAGGGAACAACAGACGCTTCTTCTCCAGGTACCTGAGGAAAAAAAGTTTTGAAGAACACTCAGAATTATTTCCAACAGTGACCCATGCTTGTGAAGGAATACCATATACAATGTAGGAAGAGGGAATTCTAGACTTTACCTTTAGTTATTATCTTGAAAAATGTGTTCATAACATTGTGTAAAAGGTGGTATTTTGCTTATAGAATATCAAGCAATAAAATGATGTTGACCTGATTGAAAGTGACTAGGACAATGAACAGAAAAAATAATTTTGAGGAGAAGAGGTTTTTAGATGGCAATGCTCAAACCATGATGGTTACATGACTGTCACATGTACATTTTGTACAGACCATGATGTTCACATGATTGTCACATGCACAGACCATGATGGTTTCATGACTGTCACATGCACAAACCATGATGTTCACATGACTGTCACATGCACAGACCATGATGGTCACATGACTAGTCTGTCACATGCACAGACCATGATGTTCACATGACTGTCACATGCACAGACCATGATGTTCATCACATGACAGTCACATGCACAGACCATGATGTTCACATGACTGTCACATGTTTTCCCACGTACCCTGTGAGTGACTTCTGGCACAGCTCCAGCTGTTCCAGCAAGTGAGGCAGCAGCTGTCCCAAGGTTTCGTCCCCTACACAGCACTGCACCACGTTGCTGTTCTCGTGAGCACGAGTCATGATCTTCACCCACGACTTGTCAATGTTGGAGAAGCGTTTGGCTTCTTTGGGCAGCTGTTTGGCAATGTCACCTCCAACAAACACAGCCTGGAAGGAAATCATGACAACAAAATGCTGTTAGCTACATTTGTACTACAATGTATAAGAAACCAGCTTTACAAGATACATTTATATGCAGGGAAAGAGTATCTAGGGATACAGCTATACAATCTGTAAGAAAGTAAACTATGCAAAAAATATGTGATCAGAAAAAGTTATAACAGACATTAAGTTCTAAATTCTTTCTATACAGCAATATCAACGGTATACATGTGTTGGACTGTTTGTTACAAGTTATTGTCATATGGAAGTTCAGGAACTAGTTTTGTTATGTGTTGTTGTGATTATACCCACCTCCAGGTAGACCCACAGGTTCTGAACAACCATCCAGTTCTCCAGGATATCTGTGGTGTTGGACAGGTTCTGTACCCACTGCTGGATCTGCTTCTTGAAAGGTGCATTGTACCTGTGAAAGCAACCATCAAGTTATAGGGCACCAATTCAGTCTCAATTCAATATAATACTATGTACATTTTATACATGATGTGTACATGAATGGTAATTTCTTTAGCGATGACAGTCAAACTATACATGATACAGGTCCAACATTCTACATGTGCACTATAAAAATGCCATAGCTAACAAATACTATCAAGAAATATTCTCTTTCTGGAAGGACATCAGTGTCTTGCTTGTTTCTGCATGAACCACTAGTACTGTACTGTATGTTGTGTGCATGTTGTAGTCAAGAAATGAAACGTGATTGCGATCATACTGTAACGAGCTTGGGGCAAGAGGGAGGGGGGCGAAAGTGATAAAAAAAGTTGCAATGATGAAATTTCAGCAGTGGAATAGTGACCGCTAAAACCACTATAATTATGTGACTGTTATCAAATCAAACAGGATGGCTACAAGCTGCTACCCCATTCCATGATGGCCCACACATGTACCTGTTGCTCATGAGAGACCCCAGCACCATCAGGCTGTCCTCCAGGAGTGAGGTAATCTCACCAGTGCTGTCTCCCCTCAGTAGGAGCTCACCCCTGGTCTTGAAGTTAGCGAAGGTCAGAGTGTGGGTGTTCCACTCCGCAATGGTCTGCTTCAGCTTGGCCTCTATATCTTTCTCCTTCACCGCAGCAATGCAGATGTCCTGATGGTGAGCAGATACAGACTTGTTAGTGAACCATCTCTGCTTCTGAAGCAATCTTCTCCAATGAAACTGTTACTAACAGCGACAATTACAGGCATCCAATGCAATGTCAGGGCAGCAAAACTGGAGATATTCTGAATAAGGTAATCTTTGTGATATTCACACGTCATATTGCTTCACATTAGGCCATTTGAATTCAGCATTTCATACTTTGGGCATTTAAATCTGCAGAAACAAGCCCCAAGATGAGTCCTTTATTTTCTGGGTGGCACCCCAAAAATTAGCCCAGGGCCCTTCCAGTAACCTTTTGCCATCAGAATTTTGGGAATTTTTGCTCCATGAGGGTCAATTATACATTGGGATAGTGTTGTTTCAACTCAGTATGTAGATAATGACTAGAACATTAGCTTTGAAAAATCGGGTTTCCAAGCCCTAAAAACTGCACTGGAGGCCTTTATTAATGAACGCCTTCAACAACTAGCTGCAAAAATACTACACACAACACCTTCAGCACCAAGGACATGACCAGACAGTACAGATGCTGATTTTCTCCTACCTCTATGTCTTCCTTGAATTCCAGGAGAGGTGCTTCCATGATGTTCCTGAGAGCGAAGGTCTCGCTCTCGATGTCGAACGGATGGTTGGTGACGGCGGCGATGCGGTTCCAGTGGCGTTTCATCATGGCCTTGTTCGCCATCATCTCCAGCAGCGGGCACGTCTCGTTGAAGTCATCAATGGTCTTCTTCAGGTCCAGGAAGGCCTGCCACTCCTTCAGTGCCCGGGGTAGCTTACGGCACCTGGAGCAGATTATGATACACATTGTAAGCATATTTGTATGAGCTTTAAAGTTTGTTTATTCATGCTTAAATCAGCCGCTTTTCATTGAGGTTACGCACTTACCATAATAGTTAGTTAGTTTATTTGTTTGTTTGAGTCTTTGTTCATTCATGAGACACTAAAATTGGCCTGTTGGCTGCTTTTCATTGAGGTCAATGAGGAACGAGGTCAGGGTCAGACAACATATGATTGCATGACTGGGGTCCTACAAAATCCATAAACATATAGTGTGTCATATAATCAGAATTTATATTTATGTTTACTAAAGGAAAACATCTTGTTTTTGCTTTGTTTCTTCTTCTTCCGTTCAAAACACTGACCTGGTCATTGACCTGAACCAAACTGTCTCTCACCATGGTAACTGGTGTTGGGTTACATAATGTTGCAATTTTACAGTAGGAGGGATTTAGACTCCTGTCGCCATATATATATGTGTTTGAGTAAGAATTAACGGAGCAGACCATATGTAAAGGTTATGCATTTGTTTTGCAAATGTTCCCTTTTAAGTTATTAATAATTAAATATGTCCTTACACATACATAATTTTAACACAAAGAGAAAAAAGGTAAAATAGGTGTGACAGTTTCATTAGGATATGATGGTTTCTTCACCTGTTCTGGAACTCCTGCAGCTCGTTGTTGATCTTCTCGATGTCCACCTCCCCCCAGAGGATGTCGTAGTAGCCGCTGACCGTCTCGATGACGTTGTTGTAGAGCAGGTACAGCTTCTGCAGCAGGTTCAGCTGCTTACGGATCTCGTGCAGTTCTGGGTACGGAGTCACCGGCAGGCCAAACAAGTCCTCACCACCTGGGGATTTCAGAAAAAAACAACAACAAATAAGTGTCCAACCGACTCAGATGCTTACTTTCAATGTATCCTAACACTAACACAGTTCACTAAATATGGTCACCAACTTAAAGACTACATTAGATTCCTCTTCCCTTTTTTATTATAATCCTATAGGTAATATAAATCTGATCATAGTAAAAACTGACTGATCATTCTGATTCTGAGTCAGACCATTTATGAACATACAGATATCATGAATAATTGGACTCAAGGACCCAGACGTTACATGTAGGTATAGTGTGCTGTCATCTGGGTTCAAATCTTACCGGTAAGTCTCAGTAAGCAAGAAGAGCACTCAAAAGTTTTACACCATTCTTTAGGGTTTTCATGTCATCATTAATAATCCAAAGATATTTGATTTCAATATTTGAATATAAGGAAGTCCTTACCAGAATAGGTGACATATTTCCTCCACAGGTTGTCAAACCTGTTCTGGAAGATAATGAGTCGATCAGAGGCCTCCTGTGGAGGAACACCAGCGACCATTGGGCCTTTGCTGTTGGAAACAAGAAACAACATTTGTGAGAAAAATTAGTACTTGGTAGCCTTGGTACTCTCCCCTCCCCTCAGTGTAAAGTGAACGAGCCCGGGGGTCACAAAAATTAGGGCATCCAGGACAGACAGGTTTTCCCAAGGGTTTCCAGGAATATGGGCATGTCAACAAACAGAGCTGGGAGACATTCCTGTGGACATTCCATGCCTGTGGACAATATTCCTGTATGATTCCTAGAATTCTTGCAAACTGCACACAATACTGTACCTTAAGGCTCCCCCCTGAGACATCGCCAAAAACGTATAATAAATAGATGATACAATGTTTAGTATCTAACATTTCCTGCATGTTCCTCAATGTTTAGTACATAACATTTCCTATGTCAGTCATTTCATTATGTGGATGAAGTAATTTACATTGTACATGTACCAAAATCATGGTTTACTATATGTAAATATAGCTGCTGACTTAAAGGTAGAACATGTACCTGTGGTAGTCACCATAGAAGTTGGTACACTCTTCTTTGAAGGCCTGGACATTGCTGATGAGTCCACCCCTGAAGTTGGGCTGGATGCTGATGAGGTGGTCCTGCACTTCCATGGCCTGTGCCAGGAGGCGCTCCCAGGAGTAGCGCAGGGTGTCCACCTTCTCCGCTTCCTCTCGGGCATGCAGAAGCTCGTGCTTGCTCAGCAAGGCATAGGACTCCTGTGATGGAGAAATACATGTGAGACCACCAGTTAGTTTTATATGGTATTAAAAAAGGTGAAGATCATGCTTAGGCTTCATCTCTTCATTTTTTTCTGATTTGCAAAGAAAAAAAACAGTGGAGGAAAGTCCTTTTCTTCCTAGTTACTACAGTTTTTCTATCTATTAATGCAGTGGTTTGATTAAAAGTTCAAAATTCATTGTTTAATTTTAACCCAGCCTTTTGCGTTGACTTCATGGCTCCTATTGTAGCATTTTGGGCTATAATAGGATGCCTAGATTTGTTTTCATTTTTTTATTTTTTGTCGCCCTGTCGCTTCATATTTTTTATGAAAAAATCAGAGAACCAACAAATTAAATTGATGGGGTCTTACTCACTAAGGCATACAATTCCTGTGATGGAGCAAAAAGATTATTGGTCGGTCAGACACAAAATTAATTCTCTTCAAAATTAGTGCCAAGACCAGAAAGATCCAGAATGTGTATAGCATGGTAGACTAAGTGTTATGCAAAGAATTGTCATATCAGCTACAATGTATCAACACGTGATCTTAACTAGTACATGAATAGCATGAGCCATTCTGATATACATGTACCTCAATTGGTCCAATGGACATGTCAATTTCAATCTGCTTCTCTCGTATTTCCTTCAGGGCGCCCATAGCAATGCGGATGTCATCCAGGTCCTTGATTGGTCGAGATAAGCGCTTGGTGAGCTCCTCGATGAAAGCAAAGATGTTGTCCATCTCGGTGCGGTACTTGATGTTGCAGTACTTCCCATAGTGCTGCATCCAGGCCTTGGTCTCAGTAGTCAGGGACAGCTTCAGTTGCTCTGTTGTACAGAATCACACAATGATCAGACATCGCTTTCTTTGAACTAATCCAAGGTAAATAGCATTTAGAGAGTAGGATTAAGGATATCTAAAAAGGGAATGAAAAATGACTAGTCTATCAAATACAATCATACATTGAGTACATCTCTCTTCAGTGATATCATGTTCTTATAGCAGTAATGCTGTTAAAAATAACAGAGACAATTCTTTGAAAAGCTTCATGCACTGAATCATGAAACTTGCTATGTTCCAGACTGAGACACAAGTTGTATGCCAACATTCAGCTCTTAGGTTCTTTGAAATGATCAATGATTAACACTAGAAGGGTAACATTTGCAAATGCATAATGTTTACCTTCACATATGGTCTGCTCTGTTAATTCTTACTCGTTTACATTCATATTGTCAGACAGGAGTCTAAATCCCTCCTGCTACAAAATTGCAACATGATGTAAGCCAACACTAGTAACCGTGGTGACAGATGTCTGGTTCAGGTCATTGACCTTATTGGTTTGGAGAAGAAGAAGAAACTGAGCAAAAACAATTTGTTTTCCTTTGGTAAACATGAAAAGAAATGCCTACCTGTGTAGATGGCGATTGCGCCGACATTCACAAACTCAGTCTGAGCCATGATCTCGTCTGCCAGCTGGTCGTAGTAGAAGATCTGTGCCTCGAACTCAGACAGGCTGGGCTTGGTCTGCATGAACTCCTGCAGGGCCTCGTCACGCTCCACCTTCCAGATGTGGTGGTACTTCCCAAACTGTTCCAGGGCTGTCGTCACCTCCTAGAGGATGCAGACACCAAGGAATAAGACTACTGACATATAAAATTCACCTTGTATGTCATGTATGTGTCACAGCAAAGATTGGGATTCACGACAATTGCAGATTGCCCTGGAACAGACTGGAACCAAAGTCTCTCCTAGGACATACAATGTATTGCAGTTAGGATCTGTCCTTGGACAATATTAAAATCTTTACTGTGACTTATACACTATATAAGGTAAGGCCACACCAATTTAATTTCTTGGTTAACGGATTCGCCGCTTCATTTTTTTCTGATTTACAAATAAAAATAAAAATCCAGAATCAACTGCAAAATGCTCATATTTTGCCCTGAACAGTTGAAAACAGTCCTTTTCACCCTCGTTGTTACAGTTATTCCATCTTTCAATGCAATTGTATCATTAAAAGTTCAAAATTCTTTGTTTAAATTTTGAACCAGCCTGGTGTGTTGACTTCATGGCTCCTAACGTACCATTTTGAGCCATAATACGATGCCTAGGCCTTTTTTTATTTTTATTTTTTTTTCGCCCGCCCGCTCTATTATTTTTCAAGAAATAACCAAGAAATTAACCGTTAACCAAGAAATTAAATTGGTGTGGCCTAAGCTTTAAGTTTAAAAACAGTAAGTACAATTTGAACTTTGAAAAGTATCTGTATACAAAAACAAGAAGAATTGTTTCAGAACACAAGATATCATACAAAATACTGTAAATAGCTTTACAAGTTTGGTTCACAACAAGAATTCTTAAATTTACTAGTATTCCTTTGGGCACAATAAACTGATTAACTATTTCTACCTATACATATAGAGACATAAGGCTACAGAGCGTCATTGTAGTGAGACTGAAAAAGACAATTTCTCAGGTTTAAAGTATATGCAGCAAACCATACATTCACTAACAATGGCAGTACCTTCTTTGTGGAGTTAATACATGTAGACAGTATCCCGGCCAGACGGGTGACCTCCTTGTTCTCGGCCACACCCTTGTAGTAGTTGTTGATCTGTGTCACCACACTGTAGGAGTCACTGTCGGAGGTGGGGGCATCCAGGAAACGCATGCGGCGCAGCGACGCAGCGTCGCTAACGTCGGTAAAGGTACTGGTGACGGAACTACGCCGTTCCTCCAGATTTGCCGCCTCTTGTTGGCGTGCCTGAGAAGAATGGAGGTGTAAGTTTCATCAAAATTTGAGAAATAATGAGGACATGTTTGTTACACATTTAGCTTTCAACAAGCAAGATGGTTTTAAAATGAGCACAGGAAAACATCAGGAACTGAAAAAGACAGGACAATTGCGGTATGATGAAGAAGACTAATAGCACACTAAGAAAATGATACAATGTTACTGTAGTAGAAAAAGCAAATCAAAACATCAATGATTAGCACATACTGTCAGATATTGTTACCTCATTCCCAAAAGCAGATATTATGATAGATAATGGTAATGTTTTCTCATTAAAGTTCATCTGTGTTGGTAGCAATGATAGTAAAATGTTGAACTTTATTCCAACACAATGATTACACAGAGGTCAAATTTTCAACAACCACTGTCGGATACTGAATGACTAATCACTTTAAAACATAATCTCGTGAGAGTTACGGTTACAGACACGTGACATTATTCACATAACGTTTTCTGGCTGGCCTTATCTAGTTCAGGATTAAGTTAGTAGTACCTTGGACGGCCTGTCTTTGCTCCACTGTGAAACCCCCCTGGACACCCCGAGGATGGCCTGTACAGCCCTGTTGAGAGTTTGCTGGATCTCGTCCAGGGCAGGGATCATCACGATGTTGGGGATGGCCAGGGCCATGTCGGCACGGAACATCGGGATGTTCTCCTTCTTCGACTTCTTGTCAGCATCACTTGCATCTCCTTAAAGACAATACGCGAGAGACTTTTTAGCACAGTTCTCAAAGGAAAAAATCTATCTACTTGGTCACCCAGGAGAGGTTTTGCCAAATTATACATTTTGCAAATCTGATGTAATGTAGAAAACAATTTAATGCTCTGGCTCTCAACAAATAATTGCATCAATAATGGAGACCCAACATATTTTGCCATCAGATTTTAATGCTGCCATAGAATCATCACTAAGCCATTATATCTTCCTTACCCATGTAGATGAGCATTGACGAGGATGACACCCTTTTCTTGATAGAGTCCATGGTGGTACGGGTCACTCGCACCAAGGCATCAAGGTTCCTACCAAACAAAGGAAAAAGTTAGTGCACAGGGCCTAGTAATTGGTTATAAATGGTTGTCAGGATCTACTAACTGTAACAGCTTAAATAGTCAGTTGGTGCTGTCCGTGAGTAGAAACAATTGAATTGAACTTGCTTTAGTAACATTTTTTCAATCTTGAGAATGTATGAAAATTAGCTGCATCTTTTTCCAAATACCTGTTGGCAAACAATTGAAATGAAATTTCTTATATCAACATTTTTTGCAATCTTGAGAATGTATGAAAATTATCTGCATTTTTTCCCAAATACCTGTTGGGACACATTTTTGCAATCTTCAGAATGTGTGATGTTTAAAGTCAGTAAAAGTAAAGTGTTTAAAGTAAAGTAAGAATGTGTGAAAATTATCTGCATTTTTTCCCAAATACCTGTTGGCAAAATGGTGCAGTAGGTTCTCAGCTTCCTCCTGAAGCCGCTCCTTCTGCTCACGTTTCTTTTTCTGCAGAGTTTTCTCGGCGGGGAGAGTTGGGCTCAGGGTGAGGTGAGAGGCCCGCCGGCTGGCACGGCTGGCAGCACTGCGACTGCCCATGGACTTGGTTCCATCATGGTCTAAAGCATTGTGAGGTATACATCTTCATTATAGCCTTTTCATTATGTTTACAGAAGGAAAAAATATTGTTTTTGCTCTGTTTCCTCTTTTTCTTTTTCCCCAAAACAATAAGGTCAATGACCTGACCCAGACGATTGTCACCATGGTAACTAGTGTTGGGTTACATCATGTTACAATTTTATAGTAAGAGGGATTTAGACTCCTGTCTGACCATATATATATATATATATATGTGTGTTTGAGTAAGAATTAACAGAGCAAACCATAATGCAAAGTTAAACATTATGCATTTGCCCTCTCTAGTTTTCTCTATATTTTCTCTACAGATACTACATGTATTTCTATCACCAATGACACCTAAATGCTGTTTTGATGTTGTACCGGTATGTATGGCAACTTGTAACGTATTCTATTGTGTTATGTTTTTTCCTACCAATGGAAGAATTATAGCTTCTTCAGGCTTAAAGTGATCTGAATACAACTGAAACTCATTGATGTACCTTCTTCCTCAGCCTCCTCCTCCTCCTGCTCCTCCTCCTGCTCCTCCTCATCCCCCAGCAGCATGTCAATCAACTCATTAGCCGCCTCCTCCACCAGCTGGCTCTTGGACTGGAGGGTGGCCGCTCCCTTGGAACACAATTCCTAAGGAGTAAGCAACAACGGGTGGAAATGAGTACCTAGCTTCGGTTAGGGACATCCCTCAGATAGGACGTTAAATGGAGGTCCCGTGTTTGGGAGAGCTACACCCCACGCACCTTAAAGATCCCACCACACTTATCGTAAAGAGTAGGGGACCTTCCCGGTGTAAGTGGTTCAAACCTAACAGTCTGGATTTACAGAGCTTGTACTCACATGTACAAAACTGGTGTTTTACTCCTGAAGGCGGCTTACCGGTTATGTGAAACAAACAAACAAAACAACAGAAATGTCTTATGCCTAATTCAACCCCATAAAACTGGTAGCATACATGTAGTAAGACCTGTTACATGTAATGTATCAATGTAAAGTCAGTCCTGTTTGACAACTCAAGAGACTTGAAGAAAATGCTCACAGAAGGTAGGTAAACAGGATTTTGGATGCTTTGGTTGATGGGAGACATCCACGAGACTTTCACGACCAGATGGTTGATGAAAAAAATAACCTAAAGGACCATGTAAAAACAGTCCCAATGGCCAGGTGGTTTTATACTGGGGTGGTTCTTACACAGGTGGTCACAATGATTACCTGGGTTCTTTCCAAGAAGTGCTCTATTGTCCAGGCCTCTTCCTCTGGAAGCTCACACAGAACTGTGGTGGCCATCTCCTGCAGTACTGCATCAATCCGATAGGCGGAGATGTCATTCACACGGTTGATCAGCAACTCAAGGACACCTACAGCAAACAAGGAAGAAAAAAAACATATTGATCAGTTACTGTACTCATATCTAGCTTCAATGTATGACAAACTTTTTCATTAAAGCTCTTTACTCAGATTTCAGATTCCTATAATGGCCATGATCTGAAACAGATCTATCAAACTACATGTATATGTGTTGTAAATAGTATTCCTAAGTTTGAAAGCAGCTGATTTGATTTAATGATCGTAAATATTGTTGGAATTTCCCTTAAAAATCTGAAGAGCCAAATCTGTAGCCTGTATACTTTAAATATATCTATGACCTCAGTGCTGAATTATCTTCAGACCATGTTATTTGAAATCTATCCCTGTCCTTGGTGCTGAACAACACTCATTTCAACTGTAAGGATTTTGGACACTGAACAAGACTATTTCCTGAGAGGGGTGAAGGAGGCTATTTACATCAGGGCCCACCACCCTTCACTTAACTGCAATGGGGGCTGACATCATCTACCAGATACCTTTGACCCAGTGTTGACGTCACACTTCAAAGAAGCCACGTGACAAGCCTCACTGGGTCAGTCTACTGAGGAAGACCAGAGTGACTGGTCGAAAGCTCTAGGTGAGAGAACTTTTCTTTGTGTTGGATCAAAACTTTTAACTCTTAACATGTAACTACCAACACAGATGAAATTTCATGATAGAACACTCATTTCATATGACTGTTATCTTAGATTTATACACCAGTCATGCATATGGAAGATGTGTAAAACACAGACCTATTCCAGCGTACACATCCTCGATGTAGGCGTCTATGTTGATGGAGGTCCATGACAGCATGGTGAGTCCTGGCTCCAGGATCCGGTCCACTTTGGCCAGGTGAGGTTTGATGAGCTCCTGGAAGGCTGACGGCACCTGACCTCTCACCCGATTATTCTCCTCCAGCATCAGCTGTGAGTACAGATATTAATATACAGATTCACACAACAGGGAACTCAAAGATATACATTTTTTGTACCTATCGATGTAATTTAAAGACAGAGGGTGCATATGGTATATGGTTCATAATCAAACCTGCCAGTAACAGGGTAAAGGGACTGAGCAGAAATGGCTGCTAGAATGCTGAGAAAGAGTGCCTGCCCCAAACAGGGTTGGTCATCTGAACAATTGGTACATGTACATGTATCCAGTAATAGGCTTGTACAAGTTCATGACTTTGTAATACTAGGTTAGATTAGAATCACAGAATAATAGAGCACACACAGAATAAATTCTGAGAGAATTTTGAAGATTGCTTGGATACAATGTACAAAAAAGTAGCATAACTGCACTTTAAGTCAGCCAAGAAAGTCCTGAATATATCATTTAGGATTTCATACAATCTTACATTAATTGAAGAAGACTTTGTTTCCTTAGTGAGATTGTACGTTGCACTGACCTGTAGTTTGTTGTACAGCTCCTTGAAGTGACCTTGTTTCTGTCTGAGTCCCTTGGCAGCGTGCGGCACCTCCAGACCCAGCCTTGCCATGCACTCCGTCTCCTTGATCAGGGTCAGGATGGATGGGTCAAAGTTCACAAAGAGCTCATTGGTCTCAGGGTGTCGAACGATGAGGGAGGCGGCAAGTCCTGCCTTCATGGCGTCAACCTGTGCAGGAGGTAAAAATGTGACGGTCAAAATACTGTGACCACAACTGATATGATTACAATAAGGCCACAGCAAGTAAATTTTATGGATGACATCGTCTGCCGACTCCAAATCTAATGCGATCGGGTGAAAAAAAACAAGGCGAACCAAAAAAAAACAAGGTTCCTAAATTTTAAAATTTTGACTATATCATTGTACAAATGGTTTTGATTCAGTGGGAACATCACATATACACAACCAGCATCACATATCACTGCATCAAAGTATGAAACAAAACAAAACAAAGCCTTTTTTTCTTGTCTCCTCTCGTCATAGTTATCTGCCATCCACTTTACGGCATTGCAACAGACATCTTTTCCCATCTTTGGCATGTTGACCACTGTCAGAAGGCAACAATATTTTTTTTGTTTGTCCAAAATCAGGGAAAATTAATGCGCGCGCTGATGTCATCCATAAAAATTACTTGCTGTCACAGGCCTAACAAAGATATCATACAAGAATGTCTGCTAAGGCAATGTGCACTCAAATGTCATTGGTCAATTTGCTTCAGAAAAATACTGAAAATTTCCCCAGTAACTTGTAAAGATTATTGTTACAGTAACTGTCTCTCCTGACCTACCTGTCTCATCCAGGCTCTGTGGTACAACACCTCGAACTCCAGCAGCACCTTGGCCACCTTGTTGTAGTTCCTGATGATCCTCTTGCCCTCGGGAGTCTGTAGGACGGTGGGGTGGTCCTGGAACATCTCCATAGGCTCCTGCATCCTGCGAAACAGCTGACGAGCCCACGAGATCTTCCCTGTTAAAACAAATTTAATTTCTTCACTTGAGATTCTGAACAAAACTTTTGATAAATAACTGAACTCAAAAACTACTTGTAACTTGACAGCAATTTTTGTGTTAAGTACATCAAATCTTACTAAACCAACAAATTATCCGTCGGTTAGACATCCAGGTAATAAGATACGCCAAAAAGCAGTTACTCAAGCAATAAGATAATCATTATGATTTTTGGAATTATACATGTACTTAGTAATTCAAAATCATATCCAGGTGCTTGAGTAACTGCTTTTTGGCGCAACAAATGATCATCACAACTACAGTACATCAGATTCTGCAGTTTAATTTTTTTTAACTTCAGAACCAGTTAAAAAAACTTTTTGCACAGTTTTTATTCACGAATCGTGAATTTCTTCCATTGCCCAAAGTAACGATACAAATTAAAATCTAACAAAGGACTACATATGGTTCCAGAAGTCATTGAACAAATCTATCTTTGATACAAAATATTTTTGGAGGATTGCTCCTACCTGCAATGGGAGGCATGTCCCTTGCCACTGGTGGGTCTGCCTTCTGCTGACTGTAGATCTTGGATGTCTTCTCAATGTCTTTACCGAAGTTCTGCAAGATCTTGGCATACTTCTCTTCAATGTCAAGGTCGGGTATGCCAAGCCTAAGAAGCAACATATACAGGATCAACAAAAAGTCGAGAAGAAGCAACATGTTTTTTTACCTAGAATGGACATAATTTTTACACAACTTTATACTAGCAGCAATTCTTAGTGATTATTTTGTTTACAGAAGAATATTGTTGGATAGGAACTATTTGAAGATGTTGCTTTGGTATACATTGACTTGTCATATATAAGATAAAAATCAAAGGTACATGTACTGTATGCAACTGTTAGTACTACATATAACAAATCTTGTAAAAATTCTTATTTCAAAAATATTAATATCTTAGGCATATCCCACCTCTCATATTTCCTCAGCAGCTGTAAGGCCCTCTGTGTGTTGGTCAGCCTGTCGAAGGTACCGTCCATAAACTGCCTGATACCAGTGTGGATTTCTGCTATGTTTGTTTTGAACTCATCATAGTCCTGGTCATAGTCAGCCTTCCGCTGGTCCAGCATGTTGTACGGCTTCTTTTTCATCCCAGCAACAAGGACCTGGAAAAACAGTTTTGTTATTAGCTATAGTGTTTCTATTCTGAAATTGCCCTTTGTTATCATAATTTGCATGCTACAATAGAAAAGAAAATGTATGATACTACGTAATAATTGTAAATACTCCAGAACAAATCTGACTTCAGTGAAAAACCTTTGGTTTTGATACTGTTGCTTGTGTGGCATAATGATGATAATAAATATGAAATTTTTGTCTCTTTACAAGTCATGTGACATTTGCTTTTAAAGGCATCCAATGCAATTTCAGGGTGGCAAAACTGGAAATATTCTGAATTAGGCAATATGTATGATATTGACACATACTATCCCACGTTTAGCACATTTGAATCAGTATTTTGTACTTTAGGCATTTAAAACTGCAGAAACAAGCCCCAAGATCAGTCCTTTATTTTCTGGGTGGTACCCTAAAAATCAATCCAGGTCCTTCCAGTAACCGTCTTTTGTCAAAATATTGGGCATTTTTGCTCCATGAATTTCGAGTTACATTGGGATATTAACCTTCCCCCTGCTGAAGTAGTCGCTTGGCACCAGTATTGTTTACAGTGTTAGGCAGCAATGAGACTGTTAAGAGATTCTACATTGTACCCACCGTCAGTCTGCTGGCAAAGCTCTCCATGCCCTCAATCTTGCAGTCTCCCAGTCTGGAGTAGGTGTTCATGGTCTCAAACATGTCCAGGATCTTGTCCAACCTCCTCACGAAGGTGTCGAACTTCCCAAAGATGTACATCTCGCTGAAGTCAAACTGCTTCTCATTGGGCATCTTCTGCAGCTTCTGTCTGGTCTTGTGGAAGCAACGCTGGTACTCCTGGTTCAGCCTGTATCAAAGTATATTTTATCTGCATAAGCAATCTAACTTGGTAGTGCTATTTAAAGCAAAAGGTTGCAACTATTCAATCAATCAATCAACCAATCAATCAATCAACTATAGAAAACATCTTGTTTTTGCTCAGTTTCTTCTTCTCCAAACACAAAAGGTCAATGACCTAAAGCAGACAGTCTATCACCATGGTAACTGGTGTTGGGTTACATCATGTTGCAATTTCATAGCATGAGGGATTTAGACATCTGTCACAGTGACCATAATATATGGATGTGTTTGAGTAAGAATTAACAGAGCAGACCATATGTGAAAGTAAACATTATGCATTTGCTTTGCAAATGTTACCTTTCCAGTTTAGCAACTACTGTATTTTGTACATTTTAAACTGTTTGCTAGCAAGATTTTTCAGGTTAATCCTTACCTGATACAGGCTCTGAGTTTACTGAGCAGCTGCTCTCTAGGCTGGCCCCAGATGTCGTCCAGACCTTTGTTTGTGATGAAGGCTTTACAGGCTGTGATCATCTGGTTTGTCACCTTCACAAACAGGGACGTCATCTTCTCCGAGGTGTTGTAGTAGCGAGAGTAGGAGTTGATCATCCTGATGGCATTGATCAAGCCAGGGATGGCGTCCACCATGCCAACCTAACAAACAACACAGTCATCTATGAGTATAGCATTCTACAACAGTAACTCTTACAGTAACAACAGAATTTGAGACATGTTTATACAGAATGCTATGAAACAAAGAGCAGGTACTGAACCAACTTTTAATAGTGGAGAAAATATTTTGCATTGAAAAATTGTGTCTAAAACTACTTCCTGAAAATGTTTTCTCAATGGATGGCATTTCAGCACCTAGAAAGTTCACCTGTCTTGCTTATCACCTGTCTCTCTTAAGTGGAAAATTATGAAAGCAACTTCCTTTGTCACTATCATAATTGCATTCATAATTTTCTACTTAATAAACAAGTGAACTTTCCAGGTGCTGAAATGCCATCCATTGAGAAAACATTTTATTGCAAGATAGGTCTTAAGATTTGACCTTCTAAAACAGCAAACTATCTCTACGTAATACGTTTGTGAAGATTAATCATCCAGGATAATACTAATAAGAAAAGTTTGAATCTTTACTTCTGGATAAAATAAGAAAATAATGTCAGACGTTTCAGACGCCGTCCGGCATCTTTCATCAGTGAAATATTCAAAATTGCGGTAGAACTCGGAACGGCACCGTTAATTCTAAAAGTATTTATGTTCTAAATAAACAAATAATAAGTTAGCAACAAGCGTTCTATAGATTCTATATACAATACACATGGTAAAGTATTAACTAATGTAATGATAAAGATAAGTGAGTCCCTAGATATGCTGTAAAATAGAATCCCATGTACTTGAAAGAATGAATTCTTTCAAGTACATGGGATTCTATTTTACAGCATATCTAGGGACTCACTTATCTTTATCATTACATTAGTTAATACTTTACCATGTGTATTGTATATAGAATCTATAGAACGCTTGTTGCTAACTTATTATTTGTTTATTTAGAACATAAATACTTTTAGAATTAACGGTGCCGTTCCGAGTTCTACCGCAATTTTGAATATTTCACTGATGAAAGATGCCGGACGGCGTCTGAAACGTCTGACATTATTTTCTTATTTTATCCAGAAGTAAAGATTCAAACTTTTCTTATTATCTCCACGTAATGTTCCTTACCGGGTCACTGTTGTACAGAGGGTCACAGTACTTCTCCAGAGTGTATAGGAACTTCACATTGTCCTTTGCCTCATTGGCAGCATCTGTGATTCTGTTGTCAAGCTCCCTCCATGTCTGAAAAGCACCAAAAACAGACTTGTCAGAAATCTTAATAGTCCTTTTATAAGTCTTGTCCACTGCACAGCACCTAATTCAGCATTATCATGCAATGGAATAAACTAAGTATACAGTGGTAGAAATACCTTTTTTCATTGATTTTCTATATTGCAGAATGTCAAAATTTTGCCCTGCAATTTTTTCTGCAATACTTTCTGCAAATAAACACTCAAAAGTCCAGATCTATACCCATGGAATGTACAAAATTGCATGTTGGCAAACATTTTACATGCAATTTGAATTGGCAAATATTTTACATGCAACTTGAAAAATTCATACAACATTACTTGTATTATACTATAGAGTCAGTAGTAAACACAAAAGCTCCTGAACACCATTGAACCCCTTGTCTGATTTTTTTCAGCCTGCAAATTTGCAGGTTGCTTAATTTTTCTTCTGCAATATGGAAAATGTCTCTGCAAAATGCAGACTGCACTGCTTTTATAATAATAATAGCTTTATGCATTTACATTATGATTTTGTCTGACTTTTGTTAAATTTCCTGCTATTTCATGACATCTTTAGAAAAACTACCAAAAACAACCATCATTTCCTTACTGCGACTAGTTTGGACTTGGCAGCCTGCAGACATCCCAGCACTGATTTGACCTCGTGACCTTTGATCTGGTCCAGCAGGTGGTTGAACTTTGACATGCGCTTCTTCCAGTGTTCCAGCTCAGCCCGGGGACCGATGTCATCAGCCTCCTTCCTCATCTGTTCACTCTCCGCTAAAACCTGCATGAAGTTAGAATTTGTGTTCAATCCACATGTTGCCCAACAAAAATAAGCCCTTGTTGAAATGGTTTGACAACATAAGGGAGGATTTCACCTCTTAAACCTACATAACATCAACCCACATGACAGGGGTAAGTCCCGGGCTGCCATCAAGCCTCAGTATTGCAGTGCAAGCACGTCTAACCCCTGGAAGACGGGGAACAACAGACGATAAACCGGATAGTGGGTGAGTGAGTGAATCCTTCAGTTTCACAGCCTTTAACAAAACCATCCCTGAACTTAACAAACAAGCTACTAGTAAATGTAGGCCAAAATCTACATCACTTTTTCTCAAGCCCAAAATGTTACGTGTCACCCAAAAATCATGATTGTAGCACAGCCAGAACATGAAACATGAAAACCAAAATGTCCTTGAAATTGCAAAACGTCTATGCAAGCAGTTGAAGAAGACAGTGCTGAATGTTTATTTGATAGTATAATCTTAACGTTGCCCTTGGGAAAGGCACTTTACACGACTTTCCTCACTTCGCTCAGGTGTAAATGAGTACTGTACTGTCCCTGTGTTGGTGGCGGCATTAATATAAGTTGAAAAAACTTGAGTGTGCCGTCATCACGTTTTGTGATTGCATGTTTCGGAATATATAATAAAAAAAAACGTTGCCATTTAGACATCAAGCAGATGTTGCCATTCGAACATCCAAATATTTCAATCCATTTCGTTCCATTTTGTTTCATTTCTTTCCTATTTGTTTCAGTTTGTTCTATTTCATTTCATTTTGCACTTTCTATACACCATACATGTATATCATAGCATGCAATGCTCCTACCTGTTCAATCTGTTTGATCCAGACCCTGATACATTGCTCAATCTTGTCTATTGCATCTGAGCTGTTGGCCACGCCGATGTAGTCGTGAGGACCCCGGAGGGTTTTCAGGTCGTACGTCTCACACTCCTTCAGCACCACCTTGTCCTCCACACTGCCCTGTGCACCGCCCAGGACTGACACAAAGGAGTCCAGGTTGTTCAGGAAGTCCAGACGTACTGGGGCACCGTCCTGGGTGAAAAAAAAATACATGTCTGAGGGGTTTGGTCATACATGCTTGTAGAAAAGGCTGTAGTCTTTAAGATGGGATGTTCAGTTGTGATCTACAATTCATTGTGCTTGAAAAAACAGCTACAGTCTACTGTAGTCAAAATGGAATTGAACCAGTACAATGAACCTGTACAATGTATATTATATTATGTGTAATGCATCTAAAATAGCACCTGTCTTTCTTGTCACAACCAGGGGAAGATCAGGTCTTCAGTCAGATAAACTGGTTCCAGATCACTTTTGAAAGGTAGCTTTACTGTACTTATACAATGTATGTGGTGTTATTTACTAACTTGGGTCCTTGGCTTTACTGTACAAGAAACAGATTCAGTATACTGATTTGTTTACCTTATTGCCAAGATCTCCCCAGCCGTTTTCTACAACCCTGAGTGTGGGGATGAAGATGTTGGACAGTAGCTTCTGTATTGCAGTCAGTAGACCCACACCTGTGGTGTCCAGTACTGTCACTGTCACCTCCTGACAAAGGCAAATACAAAATTCAAACAACATAGAAAAGGCTCAATAAAGATCCAATGTCGTGTACTGTATTACAACATCTTCAATGTTTGTGTAATTCTACTCTAACAAATGAAGTCTCAAATATGGGAGGATTGAAAGTTGAAACATGTACCTACAGTCCGAGTTAGGTTACACTAACTTAGTCTGATAAAACTGTACATACAAATGTAGTATTTCAGACAGTAAAATTTGTAATAATCACCTCAACATAGTTTGCAGATGAAATCAAAGGACTGACTTAAGAAAAAAAACACTATTGTCTACCTTTTTAACCACCATGACCATACATTATATGACTCTAATATTACAAATAAAATATGAAGACACTGATACATGTACAAGTTATTTACAAGTTATATAGTTAATATATACAAGCTGAACTTTGGAACAGTCTTCCAAGGAAGATTGCTATCATCAGGGACAGACAGAGATTTAAAGTTAGTTCTTTCCTCAGCACAAAATTCTGATAGCGTTCTGTCTATAGAAGCAGTTCAGCTGCTAGTGCTGAGTGAGAGCAGACATAGATAATGAAAAAAAGTTATTACCTTGGTGATATTTTCTGCGAGGATTGCTCTGGTGCTGTTCGGCCTGAGGAAGATGACTGCCACACCGCTGAGGGAGGAGTCCTTCCCCTCCGTGATGAACAGTTTGGGTTTCCTGGGGACCGGCTTGTTGGTGGAGCCTGGAGGACCTCCCAGACGGAGCTGCTCAACTGTGCAGACAGCAGAAAAAATATACGACTCATAGTGCCATGATTATGTTTACCTTCGCAGAAGGAAAACATATTGTTTTTGCTCTGTTTCTTCTCTTCTTCTTCTCCAAAGAAATTAGGTCAATTACCTGAACCAGACGTCTGTCACCATGGTAACTGGTGTTGGGTTACATTTGTACATCATGTTGCAATTTTATAGCAGGAGGGATTTAGACTACTGTCTGACCATGTACCATTAAGGGCACAAGATTGGTGGCATGGTAGGATTCGTTTCCAAGTTGAATGCTCTGTCGTTCCACCACATGACCCAACAACTCTTTGATATTGAGTAAGCAATCTTACAAGCTTTGTATTTAGTCTAATGTACAATCATAGCAGTCATGAATGACTTTTAAAGTAAATTGTCGGCTGTAACATTTTTGACTTTGTAACATACATTGAGTTCATTTCTAAAACAGTCACATTGATTTCATATAGGGTTATTGTTATAAGATGAGTGTACAAGCAATTAGAATATTATTAACTTTTTGTGATAAGCCTTTTGCTTAAGATGTTTCAATGGGTTTGTTATCATTACCTGGGTCTTTATCTGAGTCTGATGATTCCTGGTAGAAGAACACGAGGTGCAGAAGTCCATCTTGAGCAAAGAACTGGTCCATACGTTCAATCTGGGGAGAGTGCATAGAGGAATTCTCACAATGTCCACATGATGGCAATAATGCAAAGAATAGTGCTCAGTTGAAGGCTTTATACAAATTGCTACTGTTATCGGATCCCAATTACAGTTCATTGTTAGGAATCATATACACTAAGTTTGAAGCACTTAATAGAAATTGATTCAAGAAAATATAGAAAATATATAGCAATAGTCATTCTACTGACAGTATACAGTTAAGTAACTGAATCATATGTATCTTGGAGTACTGTGACTTCTGCAATACTAGTGCATACCTGTGTTCCCTCCAAAATGGCATCTTCCACCTCCGGCTTCTCGATATTGAGGCTGCGTGAGACAGTTTCCAGGACGTAGTCATGGCGGGCATCCAGCATAGCACGCTTCGCCTCTCGCTCTTCCTTCAACTTTTGCTGTGGAAATCAAGTGGAAAAAGGAACCAAAATGTTAATATATGTTTGTGCACTGTCAGTCTTGCATTGTCTAACTTTTGTTTCCTTTTGGACTTTCAAAAATTTGTCTTCACTTGAGTACTGTTTTTTGGTGTATAGTATTGTTTGCAAAAGTAAATCTTGTGACATTCTGTGTCACCTTGTCAGACACAAAGATTTCACAAAGAAGAAATACATTGAGTCAGACATATTAGAATTATAACTGCCTAAACTTGCTACATGGGCCTTATCTCTTCCCCCTTTTTGCAAAGTATTCAATTAATGCATCTTTTACTACAAAGGTTTCAGATAAATTCATGTACCAAGTCATTATGCTGTATACATTTTTGTACATGTTACTGTAGCATCAGTGCTGTAATCTCTTTACATGTTAACTTGCCCATTTTGACTTGCCTCCTTCCCATGACTAAAATTGCTTTTAATACAGTTAGTTTACCTATGGCAGCAATAACGGAACTTAAATGACAAATAGGATTTTGATTGAGTGTCTGAATCCCTAGTAAGACGACTAGATATTGTATACAATCATGCCACTCAAGCTAATGTTGTTAATTTCTTCCTGGTCAAGCAAAAATGACTTAAGTTTAATTGAAACTAAATCAGAAATCAACAACCTGGGATTTTCTTCACAGCATACATCCTCCTGACTTTATGAAAGGACCCATTAACTACTAACACTAGTTAACATAGTAAGATAAACATTCTTCAGCAAATCCTGGCTGCCAAGTTACCACAAAATATATCAACAATATCAAAACAAATGATGGCCAATATAGGGGAATTGGCTACTATGCAAACTGAGTAATGACCATTATTTCACCTGTGTTGCCTGACATTTCATAATTCATTTTCAACTGAGTGTCAATGTAAGAATATTTCTCCTCACTATCACGATGTCAAGATACTTCTAGATACTTTGCATCTTTCATCTGTAACAGTTACTGAGTTATTATAAATTAGCAAATTGTATTACAATGTAACTATTTTAGACCAACCAGCAATGTGTTGAACTTAATACTCTAGCAGGGCTTTAGCCAGCACCAGTTTTTCTGTCAATTCCAGGAACTTTGTGGCATGTGATGGAAAAAAATTTAAACCAATCTGTCAACCTTGATAGACAAAATTGACAAAAATATTGGGTCAAAACATACAAACATCCAAAGGACCACCAACAACCACCCTCAACCCCATGATTTTCCTCTCAAAATGTTGGACATTGTGTTTTTAAAGGCTTGAAATTGCAAAATTTCTCCCCGGACCCCCCTAGATTGTGAGCACTATCCTCCCAGGTCCTATCATAAACCTGGGCTGAAGGAAAAAGATTTCGAGCTGGCTATAGCCCTGTACTCTAGTAGTGGACTACTTGTAATTTTCCTTCACTGAATCAGATATGCTAGTTGACTTCAGCTACATGTCTGCATCTTGGCTACCTGTGAACATCTAATAGATGTACAGTGACTTTCCCATGAATAAAGAACAACCCTTTCAACTTGGACTGGTCCTCTACATGACTTAAGGGTCCAGTGAACCTTGATGTTGTATCACAGCTGCCTTCAAATGTCTTGAAGTACATGTAGATCTTAAACTCAGAGTCTGTTCTTTACAACTGAGACTCAACCATAACAGGTACAGTATTTGAGACAATGAATTATTTACATTGACTAGCATTTAGGATATCAACAGTAACACTTGATATACATTGTACATTGTGCAGTCATATACATGTTTGTACTCCACAATGTACATTATGGTACAAGACTTTAGTACATTTTACTCTATAATAAATGCCACTCACCTTCTCTGACAACTACAAAGCTTACTAGTAACTATCATAATTGGATCACAAAGTACAGAATTTAAGTAGTCAAGTATTTACCCAGCATGGGCAAAATGGTGACAGAAATCAAAGTACAGATTGTATAACTCACTTTGAAGGCAGTAATCTGTTCATTGCTGATAACAGTTGCCATTTTCCCGATAAAAACAAACCAACGGTGGACCAAAACGTCATCACAAGTTGAGAAAAGTCATCCAGTCTCCTAGTATACAACAGGAGCCCATCTTGGTCCAGATTAAGTCTGAAGCTTTAAATGCCGTTGAGAGAAATCTCTTGGCTATTCACAACAAGTCCTTGGACCTGGCAAGTAAATAGCAACGACGCTGGCGACGAGAGATTTACCGCGGGAAGTCCCTGGCCTGACCCTTCCAAAGGTTAGCTCATGAATTGGCCATCGTACACACTGTAGGTCCAAGTGTGTGGGGTTATCTGACTACGGAGGCACACAAACATCGAGGGCCTGTTTGGGAAGATTAAAATACGTCCCCAGGCTGTGATTGGTTTTGGAATTAACGAGGTCACGCTAATGATGTAAATCCCAAACTTCCGTAACAAACAAAACCATTTTATCCAACAAAAAGACTATTGTTCTTATTGCCAAGTTCTAAATATAGAACACAAAATTCATGAAGATTTCAAGGAATTAGGATTTGGATTAACATTCATGAGGCAAAAAAAATTCATGATCTACAATTATCATGATTCTTTGTGTGAAAAATCTTTAAATAAACTTTGAGACTGTTCCTCAGTAGTCGTCACTCCTTAATGAATATTAATGACCTTGTTGAGGGGATAAGGATGAAGTGAAGTTGACTCTAACTTACTTAGTGTGCATTACACCCAACAGGGGATCCTGGGTACTCTGTACATTACTTCACTCTTATCATATTTCAACTGATTTCATTTTTTTTTTCAAATCCAATGATACAGCAAAAATACATGGTACAAAATATAGATAACAAAGTCAACACTGATTACATACACTCTTTCATGAGATTATCTGAATGAGTCTAATTCCATAAACACTAATGACTTTTGCATTGTCTTGAAAAAATAACAACTTAAGATGCATTAGTTGTACAAGACTTATATTGTGGTTTAATCTGGGGGTATGTAACATTCAATGCATGTACACATGTATGATTGTACATTGTACAAAGAGGCCCTGTAGAATTTAAGCTGATTATCTGTTAATACAGCTATGCAGTTCTTGTTCTTGGTGATCCTAATACCAGCTAGATTAATCACCAAGTTAACTTAATTACCTACTAACCCCTCACAATTGGTCTGACAAGGTTCAATATTGGCCAGATAACTCAGGTTTAATCCTGTCGTCTGGAGGGCCAGTCTGGTCACCATAGTAACAATGTAAACAAAGCAGAAACAGCCAGTCAGCTGAAGTGTTCTCAGCCATCTATTGGCCAATTCAAGGACAACAATGAAATGTCATTATGGGAGAAATAGAGCGCACCTTTGTGCTATGGTGAATGGCCAGAAATATTTTGGGTTTGCGAAGAAAGAAGAGGGCAGGACAGATGAAAGGATTGATGCAGGAAATTGTTCACAACTGTTCTTTTGTCAAACTATCCCTACAGCATCATGGAAAAGATGCAATAATAGTAGCACTACATTATGTAGGTGATACCTCTGTGACAAAGCAATAATCATAATGATTACAACAATTGGCTCTCTCTACAAATGACTGCTTGTATGAACTTTTGAAAAATGAACCTGAAATTTCCTGCGTTTTTTTGAGGATTTCAAAGAAAAAATCAGAGATAACTTTTTCCAATGACAAAGTGAACCGTTTTCACTGGTGACACGAATCAGTCCATCTTTTTAAAGAAAAATCTTGGACCTTCAAAAAGTGGACCAAAAAGGGGACCTTTGAGCTGAAGGCCTTGCATTGAACACCCCCTGGATACGGGAATGCAATGCTCTACATTCATGTAATTCAAATCAAGGAATTGGCAGAATTGTACTGCATCAGGGTTATTACAAGCTGTGGTATTGCCAAGTAAAACAGCTTTCATAGACTACACATACCCAGCTACATGTAAATTGGCTTGACACCATTTTGAATGCAGACTCCTTATGCCAACAAGGATGCTTCAGAAGCCCCGTGCACCTGTTTATAAGTACGTTATGACACGCAAGAATGGGTCACGACTTTTCAACAACCCGTGGAACTCTCACTAACACATTATTCCACAAAAACACAGTCTGAACATTATGGGAAATCTTTTAAACTGATTTACCAAATTCATATAGAATCATTATGCAAAATCCCACAGTAAGAGCAGTCACTCCCATTACAGTACTAGTACATGTAACTGTTCAATTGAACTTCTGACGCTACATAATCGTATAATGAATGTAAAATGATAAATGTGTACTTTCAAAAAAGTCTAATATATGCTAAATATCCAGTTATAAAGAAAGCATGAATATTGATGTTATTAATTATAAGTACGCACATGACACGTAATCTACATGTTTGACATACATGTAGAACAGGTACATGTAACTTGTTCCTGCTGTTATACATGTATGGTTAGTCTAACTTTAAACATTGGGAGTATTCAAAAATTCACACAGCAGTTTGTATGAAGCTGAATCATTTCTCCACACCTAGCCCCATGACCAATACAAATATTATAGTCCTCATCAGGGGTTATAAAACTTTAAATGGTTACCCTATTGCCAATTAGTAAACCCTTTTTTTCTTCTTAAGAGTACAGTATAAAAGTTTCTGCAGTAGCTTATCTAAATGAAGTTTCATACAACTTAAAACTGGGATAGTCAGTAAGTGCTGTTGTTGATAAGAAAAAACACTGTACAATGTCATGTAATAGTACAGGAAAGAAACAACAATAAGTGAGTCATTCCATACCTGTCTGCCAAGACGTTTGGCAATGCTCATTTCGGCAGGTAAACTTGGCCTACAAGTGTAGAAATTACTTCCCTACAGTTGAAAGGGTAAGATAACAATGTGTTCTACACCCGATCAGAGTGTCCACGGTTCATACATCAGGAATGGCCAGACGTAAGCACCGCATCCTGGTCCTTGCGAACATTGTCATGGTCACTAAGCAGAGGAGAGCGGTACTACACAAACAGGTGT